GAAGTCGCGTTCGCATGATAAGGGCAGAAACAAAATTTTACCCCCCCCCTAAAGCATATTTTTTTCCTTACCAAACGAAAGTACTTAAAAATTCAAGAAAATGTTGCCTTCAAACTATATTACTAAAATAATCAACAAAAAAGTTATTTCACTTACAATATTTATTGCTACTTAAGCAAATTTTGGCGCGAATCAAGGCTTTTATATTGGTCTCGGCTTTCTAATTTTGCAAAAATGTGGCCCAGGCGCTTTTCATCAGTGACAGCACTTGCAGACTCACTAACAACACGCACAAACCGTTCGGTATTCTGGGAATGACAGAGGAACTCTAAAAAAAATGATTTAAAAGTACTATAAGACCCGTGAAGTTTTTAGTTTGAAGATATTTACCTGGGATATTTATCACTTCATTTTCCGAAAATTGAAACATTGTAAGTTCACTATCTGGGTAGAACTGCACACAAGGGGGTTCCGTAATCTTAAACTGACTCCAATCGATCATGCTGACATACGACTTACTTTCAAAGTTTATTACGCCACGCTTTGGGACCTTGAACACGCGAAGCCCTGCTGGTGGATATTGACGTGCTGTTTTGATTTTTTTCGTACCCATCATTACGTATCTCTGGATCAGCGTCGGTTATCATGGCTAATAATATATTTTCTGGGTGAAAATAATATGCATTATTTTCTATAGCTGAACGAAATCCTCTCAACATAATCCTTAAATTTAGGTTACTCTGTTGCATAAAAAAAATCAATTTTTGTTGTACTGTGTTATTATACTTACTTACATCTGAAACTCATGTTGACCTGTGATATTAAAAGTGCTATAACTCCTTTGTTTATTATTTTAGTAATATAGTTTGAAGGCAACATTTTCTTGAATTTTTAAGTACTTTCGTTTGGTAAGGAAAAAAATATGCTTTAGGGGGGGGGTAAAATTTTGTTTCTGCCCTTATCATGCGAACGCGACTTCAAAGCTTAAAAAGACATAAGAACGAAAAGTGAAGCTTCTCAAGACAAAAATAATGACATATCAATTTTAAAAATCGGCCGTCAAATAACCAAGTTACAACGAAAAAACCATTTCGGCTGTATTTCGGAGGGTTAAAAAAAAAAAAAAAAATTTTTTCCAGAACCCTCTCAACATAATCTTTAAATTTAGGGGCGGACATTAGCAACTTTTTTTTTTTGTATGGGGACCGACCCAGTCTAATGTACATATGTACGCATATAAGTATTATGTAAAGTTTCCTTCATAAAAATTTGTTTATGAATCGATCATTTTGAAACTATGAATGCCGAATATAGACTTAGTTTTCACAAATCCATTATTATTTGAAAAAAACTTAATTTATGATTTTGTTTTACCCGATTAAGTGAGTTTCTACTTACATAATTAAATTCAAAATTGACATATTTAATTCATATAAATTATCATACATAGATACATACATATGTAAGAAGTATATATGTATGCACGCTGTATAATAGCGCATGAATTGGCAATTATCGACAGTTTACTTTCGTTCACTTGTTGCAAAGTACATACATAATGCATATGTACATTAGGGTGGCCCAAAAGTGCATATGAAAAAATAAAGTCGGAATCTTTATGCTCTCACAACCTAGGATTGTTCTATACCGAAAAAGTATACCCCTATCCTTTCATTTTGCAATAAAAAAATATTTAGAGGTCGCTCAAAGCGCTCAAAATTTTCCATGTATTTTATATGGAAAAAACGAATTCTTGAAAATCAATAGTTTTTGATCGGGAAAACTCTGCTCCTCTTCAGGAGATTCCCAATAATATTTATTTATTTATTTATTTCGTCTACAGAAAAATGTTTTCTTACAGGCAAATGAGAATAGAACATTTAAAATTGAATAATTTTTGAATATTACCCAATTATTTATTTAACCATTTTTTCCATAGTAACTATATTTTATAGGTCTGCCAAAACACGCAGAAAATGCCAGCAAATGCATTCGGGAAAGAATAAAAATTTTTCAGTATTAGAAAATGGTTAAATAAACAATTGGGTATTGTTTTTGGTTTCATTTCAAAATAAAAGAATGGTTGTATATTTTTTGTCGATGTAGAACAATCCTTGGTGTGATATCATTAAAAATCCGACTTTATATATATATATATTAGACTGCATCACTCCCCATACAAAAAAAAAACTACTACTATTTCCATTGGAATTATAAAATCTATTATATTCTAAGACGACCACCAAAATATTTCGGAAAAATATTAAGATTTAAGTGAGCTGGACCGATTTGAAAATACCTCCAAAAATCGAGTTTTTTATGAATAAAAATAGTTTCTTAAAGATTTTTTGTTGAAAAAATCCCCTCAAATGATAAAACGGTTTAAGCTTAAAATATATGCATAAAAATATTTAAAAAAGTTTAAAAAAAAAAATGTTGAACGGAATCGTAATGATGAAATTTTTGATGCTGTTTTTTAACTTTTTTCAAAGATTGGTATAGGAAAAACTTGAATAACTGAACCTAAACTCTTCCGATTTAGACTTAAGAGGTGTCATTGGAAAGGTATTTTTTTCACCCTTTTTATTTCTTTGCTAATAAACTCATTCAAAGGATGGAAGAGAAAGGTAGGATGAACGAACGTCATTCAAAGTTGAATTATGATGTGTTGGTATTCGAAAAAACAAGATGGGGCCCGAATGACGTTTTTTTGGCCAGTGTGAAAATACCTTTCTACTGAGATCCCATAAGTCTAAATCAGAACATTTTTGGCCCAGTTATTCAAGTTTTTCGTAAACCAATCTTTGAAAAAAGTAAAAAAACAGCATCAAAAAGCTCATTCTTACAATTCCGTTGAAAAGGTTTTTAAATATTTTTATGCAGATTTTTTTAAGCTTAATCTAGTTTGTGATCAGAGGGGACTTTTTTCAAAAAGTTCTTTAAGAAACTATTTTTATTCATAAAAAACTTAATTTTTGGAGGTATTTTCAAATCGGTCCAGCTCGCTTAAATCTTAATATTTTTCCGAAATATTTTGGTGGACGTCTTAAAATATAATAAGTTTTGTAATCCCGGTGGAAAACCCGCAACTTTTTTTGGTGTTGCAGTCTAATATATATATATATGTACACCGTTTCAAATCCCGCAAAGTTTCAATATAATGAGCTTACCAATTTACAGCCAAAGTGCCACAAATGTTGCCGCAATATTTGGACCATCAACGCCCCAGCGTGACCACAAAGCTCTACTAATTAAGCGTACGTGTGCCGAATTTCTTGCCCAAATGGAGCTGCTGCATCTGCAGATAGATAAACCACCAAGTAAGCAACTAATTAACACCACTGGAATATGTGAACTATATGTATACAAATACATATGCATGCACACCTACGGTAAAAAAAATAGCAGTGCCAAATTTCGACCACGTTTGTCTATTTGTATTTTCTTTATTTAATGCTTATTTTTTATTTTTTGAAATCTATCTCATTATATAATAAACACTATATGTATAATTCACATTTTTTGCTTTGTACAAAAATTATAAAAACTTAAACAATCTTTACCAAAATTTCAGTTTTTTTACTCTTGAAGTGGCTGCGAATTCGCGTTGGCTTTTAATATTTTTTATTTTATTTATTTTTTGGTCGCGCGCCGTGGAGGTACAAAAAAAAAAGAGTAAAAATTAATGCGAATTCATAGTCGCTTCAAACATACACTTTATTTGATTAAAAATGAATAGGCTATAGAACTGCATACTTTATAGCTTTCTAAAAACTCTACATAAAAAGTTTTAAATTATGGCGAGAAATTGTCTGTAATCAAATCTTACAATCGTTTTTTACTAACTTTCCGATGAGCTAGAAACTTGAAACTTACTCAGAGCCCGATGAAAATGCAATACGATAGAGGCATTAATGCGTTAGGTGACGCAGGTGTTGATTTAAAATATATATTACTTGTAGGAAGTGAAATAACTCTACAAAATATTTTGCCCGATAGGTGGCGCAGGAGTCGAGATATTCGGAAATCCGTATTTATGGTCCGATTTGGTTCATATTTGGAAAAGCATATGACTTAAACAGAAAGAAGTAACCACACAAAAAAATTTGCTTTAAATAGGTGTTGTAGGGGTCGATTTTTCTTTTTATTAAACATTTATAAAAGCTTGTCTTAATCTTTTTTTTTAATTACTTATTATAAATGTTGTACAAAGTTTGAAATGTGAATCTAGACGGTATTTGTTATTCGCTTTCATAATAATCAAACATAAAATTTCCTAAAAAACAAATAGCGAAAAATGGTCAAAATGTTGCACTGCTTTTATTTTGATCGTTGGTGTATGTATTTAGCTACATATTATACGTTGCCATGTGTATATGAATAATCGTAGTAGCTAATACAAATGCATATGTATATAAGTATGTAAGTATATATGATTTCGTCGTTTAAAGTACAAAACCACGTATCAACAAAATGCAAAAGCGCGTATGTAAAGTTGCTTAAATTATTTTTTAGAGAGTAAAAACACTCATATTCAAAATGGTTCTTTTTTATAAAGCAATCGCTTTTCTGGCTAGTATATTTCAGGACGAATGGATAAGGATTTAACCAAGAGCTTGTGTGAGCAAATTAAATTTTTGGCAGCAAAAGTCAGTTACGCGGTTTTGCAGAATGACGATACGCGGTTTTATACTTTAAACGACGATTTAAAAAAGCTTAACTTTCTGGATTATGTCGAGTGACTTTTTTTCACTACATATAGCCGATTTTGTTATTACAGAAGTTTTAGCTAAGTCGGAGAAGAAAAAGTTTCAACCCGATGGCAGTTTTCATCAAGCGGTAGGAAGAGGTGAATATATGCACTTTAAGCACTATGTACATTAGACCGTTCCAGAAAAAAAGTTCGCTGTACACCCCTGAGTCCAACGTATTTATGCAAGGCTTTTCGAAAGAACTTAAATTTTTGTTTGGCCCAACGTAGGGGTCGCTTTTTTGCATTTTCCATTATGTATTCGACATATATGTATAGTCGGATCTTAAAGTATGATATATCGCGGAGAAAAGTTTTTTTTGTTCCGGAGTTTATTGACCTCAAGTATCACGTACTCTAATGCCTAATCACTAGATCTCTGTTCTTATCTCCTTAACGCACCACCCTAAGGTCAGTAAATTAAAGCTACCAATTGAACAATAGATTTGCTTTTGCCGAATGTAGGTGCTTCCGAAATTTGTAAAGAGGCGTTCGGACAAAAATGTAACTTTTTTTGTTGCTTGCAATGTGGTAAGAGTCCTGCTAGCATAGAGAGAGGCATCTTGTTTAACTTAAAGAGTTCTTAGATCGCATCTACCCATAGTGAGAAGGCCTTAGCCACATAGCATTCCAAGAATTTCACCCAGCGCTCACTGACCTGCCCAGACACCCATCTTTGCCTGCCCTTTTCGGCAATAATGTTAGGTTTTCACATAAGGGACAAACTGAGCTTATCTACATCACACTAAATTCGCTTATGTCAAAGCGAAATCAACTGATTTGGTATTGCGGTATTTCTGACTCCATAATTAAAGAGTACTGCTTTGAGAAGACTGGGCAAACGGACTCCTTGCCATGGATCCCAGATACCAAAGTACATTGATACGCAGACGGTTCAAGGACGGAGCACAGGGCGGATGCAAGTATCAAGTAAAATGCGCCCGATTAAATCTCGAAAAGGGTTCGAGGGTGTGTTTATAACGGGTGATTTTTTTGAGGTTAGGATTTTCATGCATTAGTATTTGACAGATCACGTGGGATTTCAGACATGGTGTCAAAGAGAAAGATGCTCAGTATGCTTTGACATTTCATCATGAATAGACTTACTAACGAGCAACGCTTGCAAATCATTGAATTTTATTACCTAGAAAAGTTGGCAGAAAATCCGCTTTTTTATCGACAAATTTTGTTCAGCGATGAGGCTCATTTCTGGTTGAATGGCTTCGTAAATAAGCAAAATTGCCGCATTTGGAGTGAAGAGCAACCAGAAGCCGTTCAAGAACTGCCCATGCATCCCGAAAAATGCACTGTTTGGTGTGGTTTGTACGCTGGTGGAATCATTGGACCGTATTTTTTCAAAGATGCTGTTGGACGCAACGTTACGGTGAATGGCGATCGCTATCGTTCGATGCTAACAAACTTTTTGTTGCCAAAAATGGAAGAACTGAACTTGGTTGACATGTGGTTTCAACAAGATGGCGCTACATGCCACACAGCTCGCGATTCTATGGCCATTTTGAGGGAAAACTTCGGAGAACAATTCATCTCAAGAAATGGACCGGTAAGTTGGCCACCAAGATCATGCGATTTGACGCCTTTAGACTATTTTTTGTGGGGCTACGTCAAGTCTAAAGTCTACAGAAATAAGCCAGCAACTATTCCAGCTTTGGAAGACAACATTTCCGAAGAAATTCGGGCTATTCCGGCCGAAATGCTCGAAAAAGTTGCCCAAAATTGGACTTTCCGAATGGACCACCTAAGACGCAGCCGCGGTCAACATTTAAATGAAATTATCTTCAAAAAGTAAATGTCATGGACCAATCTAACGTTTCAAATAAAGAACCGATGAGATTTTGCAAATTTTATGCGTTTTTTTTTAAAAAAAAGGTATCAAGCTCTTAAAAAATCACCCGTTAGTAGAGTGCTGGATATAGAAGAAAATGTCTAGCACCGTCATTAAAGGATCTATTAAAAATCAAAGCGATTTTCTAGCGTCTTGAAATTTGCACTTCGTCATACTCAAATTTATTGCGCTATAAAAGTGCATACCTAAAGTTTTTATAAAAATTCTGAATAAAAATTTTAAAATTCTTGGATTTAATTCGTAACGCTGTACCTAAAATATTTTCAAAAATTCGAAATAAAAATTTGTAAATTTTTGGGCGCAATTGTAAAATTTATTGAATTTTTATAATTTTTGTACAATTTGAAATGTGGATTTATTTGGTGCTGGATATACATATATGTATACATATATAAGACTGCCGAAATATTTTGGTGGACGTCTTAAAATATAATAAATTTTTAATCCCGGCGGAAAAACCGCAAATTTTTTTTGGTGATGCAGTCTAATGTATATGTGTGCCAGAATTTTATAAAAAATATTAAACGTTAAATAAAGAAAAGCAAAATAGCCAAAATTGGTGCAAATATCACTTAACTTAAATAGCTGACTACAAGGGTCACTGTTTTGGCTAGACAAAAATTAATTTATTGTGAAACTGCAAAGGTGAAACCCTTTGCAATCAGGAATTCGAATATCAAGGCCCCTTTAGGATTCATTAAATCGGAGAGATGCAAAAGTGGGAACCAGTAAATTTGTATTTTCTAGCAAATAATTACTACATTTGAAAAAATAATCAGTTATTTGTTTGAAAATTCTGTAAACATTTTAAATTATTCATTATGGTGGCGTTTTTTAAAATCCAATATGGCGGAGTATCTTCTAAAAATGTTGGAGTGCGACAGCAAATTTTACACAGAAAAAAATTAATATATTTGTGAAACTATGGGCAAATTGTAGTAAAACTGCATACTTAGTTTTTCGCTCTGAGGTCAGGATTTTTTTGAAAGCACTTTGAAATTTAAAAAATATGATTATTTAAAAAAATTACTTACTAAATTCAGTGAAATTTAGGATAACAATATGGGTATCATATAAAAGAAAAAATTCTGTAGAATTATAACAGAATGCATTTTTTGGTGCATAAGGAAGAATGGGTATGGAAAATGTCCTTGAAAAACTTTGTCCCTAAATACCCCTGAAAATTTTCAATGTTTATGTATGAAAAAGTTATTGCTCGAGGACTAATATAAACACGACCGTATCGTCGAATTTCGTCCTGCATATTTTATTAACTTAAAAATGTAAAATTTATTAAAAGCGCATTTTCAATAACTGTTCGTCGTTGTAAACCGAAAAACTTTATTGTTTTTAAATTTTGTATACAGAATTTTCTCTTTCACTTGGTACCCATATTGTTATTCTACATTGCACTGATTTTTTAAAATATTTTTTAAAATAAATCATATCTTTAAAATTTCAAAGTCTCTTGAAAAAAAATCCTGACTTGAGTGTGAAAAACTAAAACCGCAGTTTTACTATGCATATGTGTCGCATAGTTTCGTGAGTATATCGATTCTTACGTGTGTTTCGAAATTTTTAAAATCAAAAATTGCAGTTCCAATATAGCAGATCTGTTTTTGAAAACTTATTATCTCTTTCAAAATGGTAAAAAAAATTTATATTTTGAAGAATTCGGTAAAATTTTAAACTTTTGAATGATGATGGCGTTTTTTGATTAACTTGAAATATGTTACGCGGGGTTTTTTCTTGGTCGTTCAATTCAATCCATTTTTAAAAATTTTTTTCAGCATATTGGATCCGTCATTTTGAATTTTATAAAGTCATGGTCAGATTCATAATTACGAGCGAATGCAATAAAATCTTAAAAATTTTTTCTCCATATTGAATTTGAAAAAACACCAAACATCATTTAAAAGTAAAAAACATTTTTATCAAATTTTCAAGTCTCTAACCGATAGTTTTTGCTTGAACCAATTTGGAGAGTCGCAAAGCCTCTCACGAAGAATGCCTCTTATACAGGCTGTGCTAGACCACCTTTCCGCAGACTTTCGGTCAGTTGCTGTTTTCAATAAAAAATATTACCCTCCATTTTAGAGGGGGTCGGGGACATACATAAAACCTATAAATTATCTTATCTCAACTAACAATTCTTATGTATGTATACATTTTTACCTTTATGCTGTCCATCAACCAGTCCTTCTCTTTGCCGAGTTTTTCGCTTTCATGCCAGTCAAGGGAGTGACAGCATCACAGCCCAGCCAATTGTCGTTCTCTTGGACAAATCTACGAACTTTATATTGTTTGCTTTTCATACTGACGACTACAATTGATTTGGGATTGTCAATAAACAAATTGCTATATAAACCTATCAACTTCAATAGTGTTGGTAAGTAATAGAATAAGCAAGCGAATAGTAAGCGATAAGATGGCTGAAAGCCATACGGAGGCAAGGTGGCCGAATCGACAGAAACTAACCACGGCCACGGTATTTGATAAATTCAAGTGGCTGCAAGTAAATAAAGCACTACGCTTGACACTCGGATGTCTTTGTTTTTATTACTTGTGCTAGTTATTTTTGTTTCTAAACACAAAAAAAGGAAGAAACCTATAACTTTATTGCAATGAAATTGCATTGAAACTTTATTATATAAACATTTATCTTTGTCATGCCTGCGCGCGCCTCACACTTCAAATGTCGCTCTTTGCCCTTCGAATTGCCTCAATGTTGAATCACTTTCTACGTACACCGTCCATCTTTAACTTACGTATGTACTACATGCATGCATGGGACTTTAACGCAGAGCCACTAATATTTCGCATGTCCATCATTGTGGTTTGCATTAGTGCTATTGTATTGGCGCGCAAATGGCCGGCATTGATGTTGTACTGGGATGAGATGGAGAGCGATTTGCCGGAGTATTTAACGCAAATGGAAAAAGGACGTCTGGCGTACAGGATTAAAATAGTGACAATTGTGGCCATGATGTTGTCACTCGGTGAGTTAGATGAGCATTCAAGATGGCTTGAACATCTCAGCGAGTGGATGTTGGTGTGAAGTGGAATGAAAGAATGGCACGTGTACTATATTATTTATTTAAATTTACTTAACATTAGCTTTAATAATACTATGTCTCCATTATGAGATTTAATGTAGATTAAGCCTTCTTTTGAGATTTACCATATAAAATTAAATCTCGAAATAGTACCATTAGTTACATTTTCCAAACTATATATTATACATATTTACCACGAATAAAAAGCCAATAATGTTAAGAATTTACATAACGAAATTCCGCTGGGAAGGAAGGTATTTATCGGTCTGTATATCAATGCCCGCAGCTGTATTTATAAAATCATACATAAGCAAACGTCAAATATTTAAAAATGTGAACGTCAAACATATATCGTTGTGGCAATGGAGACGGTTGTGATTTAGCAACTTGATTTCTTAAATCTTTATAGATAAATCTCTTGATGGAGACATAGTATAACAGAGGTTTACAAAAAAAAAAGCTCCTGCATATTGAACCAGACCTCTATGTCCCTATGTTATTCGACGCGCTGAATGCGAATCGGAGGTCTGTTAGCCCCCATCACGTCAGATTCGAGGTCATTTGAGGGTGAAGTAAGGAAAAATGCATTGAATAAACCTGAATGGTTATATTTATGGGGTTTTAGACTCGCTGAACCCGAATACGAGGTCCGTTAACCTCCATAATGTCAGGTTCTTAGAAGAATGTCCTGCACTGATACACGAACGCAAAAGGCACCTGCGTGAGTGAAATTTCGTAGATTTAGGTTCCACACCAAAATTTCTCAAAGAGTCTTCGGGAAGAAGGAGATAAAGCTTGTTCGTTTTAAAGCCTTTTGGCTTCACGAGAAAAGATCTGCCTTCCTTAGGTAACATTTTGGAAATACCGAGAGCATGTTTTGTAAACGACTGACCCCAGAATTTTCTTACGTACTTTACTCATATATTGACTACATATATTGTGTCTTTTTACGACCATTTTAAAGATCCTTAGAGCGTGCCTTGCCGAGAATGGTATACTCCTTCTACTCTCCATCATTCTATGGCACCACTAGCGTGGTTTCTTTTACCCCTTTCGGAAGAATGCTTGGACATGGTTTTACTAAGGCTTGGAAAAAAATAAATAAAGTCGAAAAGATCTTTTGATTCTAATGACAGTCTGAAATATCCTATTGCATTCTAAATTTCATGATCTAAATACTGCTTACCCAAAATTTTTCTAAGAAGTAAAAAAACTAATTAGGTGAAATTTTTGTTATAACATTGCAATTTTTTTTTTGTTTTCAACTTGTTTTTCTTATGTAACATTAATTAATTGGAACAGGAGAACCGACTTTCTTTGAAATGGCTACTTTTTCTGCACTTTCCTCTAAATAATTTAATACAAGAAAATGAAAATCCAAAATTGAGTCCGATCAATTGGTCTCTTGCAAATTTTATAAGCTTTCATTAAAAAAAAATTTATCAAATTGTGTGAAAAATGAAGGCTCCAGTGAATTACAGTAAATGCCAGTTTTGAACCACTGTGCGCTACTACACTCAAGTGATGCGAATTCTCCACACTTTTATGTGCAAACCAAAAAAGTTGCTCATACGCCATGTACAAGCACTGAGGGAAAACGTTCTTAAAAAAAAGACTATAATTAAATAAACCACAACCGCAGTGCCATTTAAACTGTTAATTACACTCAAAAGGCTTTTACACTATCATACAACCTTTTGTTTTTTTGCTTGTTCCAAGTTTTTGTGCCACTTGGATACTAAAATTTTTTCGGACGACAGCATTTGTACTATTACACTTAGTTGGTAAAAAAATTTAAATACAACATTTCATTTTTCTCATTTAAGTTCATAGCTTTTCTGCCAGCGGAGTAAAAAAAAATTAATGAAGTATTAAAACGAAAATGCAGTATTTCTATAAAGTGTGAATATAAAATATAAATTCTTATAAAAAATATGTGTGAAGCTCTATGCATCATTTACATATCGATGGCTGAGTGGAAGATCGACCTATCTCGGCAGCCAGTTCGAAAACGCCTTATCTCAAAAAACTTTTCAAGAACGCTCTATTTCAGAATTTAATTGAAAAACACCCTATCTCCAAATTCGGTTCAAAAACGCCCTATCTCACTTCAAAATGTATTGAAAATATGCTGATATAGGGCGTTTTTGAATCGGCAGCTGAGATAGGGCGTTTTTGAAACGAATTCTGAAATAAGGCGTTCTTGAAAAGTTTTTTGAGATAGGGCGTTTTCGAACTGGCTGCCGAGATAGGTCGATCTTCCACTCAGCCATCGATATGCTCGTATGTATGTAGCTGAGATGTAAGATAACTATTTAAGTAAATACGAACTAATTATAACTTTTTCTTTTCATTTATCAGCCGAGCATTTACTGAACATTATTTCCAACATACTCTACTCCAATGCCTGTCCGCAGTCTGATGACCCAATTAAGGATTACTTTATTCTTACCAACCAGCAAATTTTTGATGTCTTCCCTTACTCTGTGTATTTAGCTATTTGTGGAAAATTAGAGAATATTATATGCACCTTCATTTGGAATTTTATGGATGTGTTTGTGATGATTGTCAGTCTGGGATTGGCGGCAAAATTTAAGCAGCTCAATGATAACTTATTCAAGTTCAAGGGCATGGTAAGAAAAACTTTCTAGTCTATGGATTGCATTTTTTATTTTTTTTTTGAATCGCTCAAATATTGCCTGTCACTTTTAATTGTCTGCCATTGCCGTCTGTTCGTATACCACACGCCGAGACAGCAAATGCCCGAGATCTTCTGGTTGACTCGCCGCAAACAATACCGGAACCTTTGTGAGCTTTGCGCACGCATTGATGGCGCCATTTCGCTCATCACAATGATATCCTTTTCGAATAATTTGTATTTTATTTGTGTGCAACTGCTGCGTAGCCTTAAGTGAGTCTCTTTATATATATATACTGTAACTACATGCATACTTCTAGTCCAATTTATTTTGCTCATGAATAAAAGCCGGCAATTTTCGTTTCATGTCTCCTTTTCCGCCCACGTTTCATTGTAGTAAAATGCCTTCGTTCGCACAACTCGTCTACTTTTACTTCTCGCTTTTCTTTCTTATCGGTCGCACATTGGCTGTCTCATTGTGTTCGGCCAGCATCAATGATGAATCTCGCAAACCGTTGCGCGTTCTACGTTGCATACCCAAGGAATCGTGGTGCACTGAGGTGAAACGTTTCTCGGAGGATATTAACAGTGATTTGGTTGCATTAAGTGGCATGAAATTCTTTTATCTCACACGGAAATTGGTGCTGAGCGTAAGTTGCATTCCGCTGTCGTTTGTTCATGACCAGTCACGTGTACTCACATATGTACTGCTGCGAGTAATACACCGTCAATTAGATTACCCATTCACTCATTTTACCACCTACATACACTTACAATTCGCTTCAGCGCATAGTTTGTAGTCATCGCATTCCTGTACCTACATATGCCCCCACCTGCATTCCGTGCATATTTGCAAGCACTTACAGAGTTCGACCTCTCTTTCCTTCAACTCAAGCAATTTTATTCCATCTTGTTTTCTTCTTCTTCTGCATTTGCCAGCTATCTTTGAGCTTACTTTTTGCTGGCTCATATATCAGTTTACCATATTCTAGTTAAGTAATTATTGCTCTGGTTCTCCTTTTCCTCTTTTATGATATATCCTTATAAGTGGTTATGCATGAAGTGATTTTGTTGTTGCTGTATATTCAATCCTTTTAAGGTTGCTGGAACGATTGTGACATATGAGCTGGTACTTATACAATTTCATCAGGATGGTGCGCTGGGTGAATGTGTTAGTAATCTACGCCCTCAGTCATCGGCGAGTAATGGTAGCGCGCATTGAGTTGGCGTAGGTGAATTGGCCAATAACAGTTATTTCATAAGTATACTACATACACCTCTACATGTACATATACCAATAGATTGATGACAAATCTATTCGTAAGTAAAACGGAAGGTTATTGCAATCAAAATGTTAAGCCATCGAGGTCGATGAAATAAGGTCATGTTAATAAGGAAAAAAGAGAAAATTTATTAATTAAAATAAAATTGAGTTCAAATGCAGTTGAAGAGAATTGTGGTTTGGCGTTTAAGGTAAGAAAACTTCTGCACCAATGTTATCTTGAGGTAAATTAACTGTAGCGTTATTTACATATGTATAACTATCACTAGCTGGTTGGCCGCGTTTGTGGGACACTATGTCAGGCGTTGAGTATTTTGCATATAACTCATAAGTTATCATTTGCTTTACGCATTCATATCTATGTACATTAGGGTGGCCCTTAAATGTTGGAAGCAAATTTTTACATCAGATTTCCTCAATCCCTACTTTGATGCTACTATAGTCGAAGATATCACATATAAATTTTGGTTCCGATTGGAGACTGTTAAGGCGTGTCGCACTGCGGCCAAAATTCAGATTACCCTATGAAGACGTCTTAACCGACTCCAATCGGGAGGAAAATTTATATGTGATATTCCCATCTATGGTAGCATCGATTTTGGGTATTAGATAAAAAAAATAATAATTTTAATTTTTTGAGTCTCTATAGACTTTATCTTGCCCCCTATCCGACACGCCTCAACCGTCTCCAATCGGGACCAAAATTTATATGTGATATCTGTGACCGTGGTAATCGGTACATATGTATATTACGGTGCCTCGCCAAAAAAAGTTGCGCGTTTTCCACCGAAATTATACAATTTATTGCAATTTTGGACTTGCGCCAAAATATTTCGGAAAAATATTAAGATTAACCTGTGCTGGACCGATTTGAAATTACCTCCGAAAATATCAGTATTTTGATTCAGTTGTTTAAAGAAGTTGTATGCTGACCTTTTAAGCTTAAACTCTTCTTTCATCTGAGGTTGTTTTTGAAAAAATAAAATTTAAAAGATAATTATATTAATAAAAACCTAGATTTCAGTAAAACTTCATAATTTTCCGAAATATTTATTGAAAGTGTAAAATTAGAATTAGTTTTATGATTCCGAGGGAAAGCAGCACCGTTTTTTTATGGGAAGGATGCATCCTTATGTACACACACATGTATATATGTATGTACATTAGGGTGCCTCACCCAAAAAGTTGTGTTTTTGTTCACCGGAATTGCAAAAATTGTTATATTTTAAGACTTTCACCAAAATATTCCGGAAAAATAATTAATTCTTAATTATTCTGTTGAAACAATTTTTGAAAATCTTTATGCAGACCCCTTAAGCTTAAACTCTTCTATCATCTGAGGTGAGTTTTTGGAAAACATATTTAAACAAATTTTATTCATATCGAGGGCTTGTATTCAATGTTCTGCAGTTTATTCAAAAACTACTTTCTGATGTTAGAACCCATCTGAGACTTAACTTTCATTACTGGTTGCATTTTTAAATTTGAAATTCAATCGCTAATTCTGTTGAGAAGCGATAAACAAGGTCAGCATTAACATAATCGATGACAGTTAAGTGTAAGGTGGATTTCTAGGGATCTTATTTTTGTAAAAATTGCAACAATTGTGAAAGTCCAACCTGGAGAGTATTTTTCTCCATCTCATCGTAATTTATTTTTAACAGTTTAGGCTGTGACATAGATGAAAATCCAATGACATAGAGACACTGGCAACCAGAGAGTAGAAGTAAAAGATTTACTTTCATTGGGCCTTACAAATAAAAACTAAGCAATTGCTATTGGAGAATCTCGGCCAAACACGATTATTATTATTCCATGGATAGTTATGATTTGGTTACCGGGGATGCCACTGGTCCGTAAGATACCTTGCACTCTCTCGGTAGTAGAGTTAGAGCGACACAGAGGTCCTCAGAATAGAGAGCTAGCCACTTTATCGGAAACTTTTGGTATTTCTTAGTTGCTTGAAACTAAATGGTGATACAAAATATTTGCATACATAGTCTGATTTTAAATCGAAATAAAAAATAAATTGAGTAGCTCTCAATTTCGTCATCAATTGAATATTCAAGAATTAAGTACCACTCACTCAATTTATTCAAAACATTCGATTATATTTCTTTCCCCCAGTCAGTCAAGTTTCAAGTACACTTGACACAAAATTTGCCATGCTCCTTCAATGCAAATGGCAATTAAAAGCTCATTACTGGACTAAAGCAGCGAGTAAATGCAAAATGTAAATTAAAAAATCTTCCACAGAGCATTGGTGTTTGGATAATTAAGGCGATGCATGAATATTAATGCACCAAGATTAATGTCGAAGGAGATACAACAGAAAAGCGAAGATGAATTAAAAAGAAATAAACTGACACAAGAGTACATATTTTAGAGCGCTTGCATCTACACAGAGGCATTAAATATATGTGTACATATTTATCGATCGATAAAGAATTGAATAGTATAAGAAACTGAAAGTTATTATTACTTGAAGTTTAAGGTCGTAATTTTTCTACCAAATGTGTATCCTTTATTTTTTATTCAAATTTCCAAAATTTATTTTAATTAGATTAAACCCGTGTGTGCCCTAAGGACCAGATTGCACTAGCAACCGAAAAAGAAAAATTGGCTCTGCTTTCCGTTAGTCATATTAAAAATAAACACGTTCGTGGCCACTTTTGTATTAGGTTTCCACCACGGGCCGAGTTACTGGCCATTAATATCATGATTAATCAAGGTACCCTCTACTGTTCCCGTTTACAGGTAGATCAATGTGTAATTACGCCGCTCTAGGCAGTACCAGGTGCCAGCATACAAAGATCCATGACTCTCTCCAGATCGAAAAATAAAAATGAGAAACCGAATCGATCAAGTGTTTTAGACGCATGTATGCTCCAAGGGCCAAACATGGACTCGGACCAACACCTTGTTGTAGCCAAGCTACACACTGGAAAGTTTGGCAACTAGCTCTGTGACGAAATTCTTCAGGCCGCTAATAAGAAGGCGTCGACATTATCGATAAAAACAAGGGCTACGTCTGTTCTGCTTTCTCTGCCACTATCTATAAGAAGAGTGCTTCATGTCCGTGCTGTTATATAGTGGAGAAGCATGTACAATGACCACAGCCGATGAGGCGGCCCTTACTAGTTCTGCGGCGTGACAATGGGCCTCATGCATAAACAGTGACCTGAAACTAGGACTCCATTTTCACACTAATGGATTGGGCTGAAGCTCAATATTTTTTACGGAAAATCAAGTCGAAGCTTAATGCCACTTTCTATGAATGGGTCCCAGTAACTCAAACGTGATTACTTCAAAATTTTAACTTCCTAAATGCGACGTGTGTCTAAGTACGCGAATACCCTTTGTGTGTTGCTAAGAGATACTTGTCGTCATTCAGCGCCACCGCTTCGATTCCGAATGGCAGCTGGTATTACGCTTTGTAAGACGGGATTGAAAATTTTGCATGACAGTGGGTCTCGTTGCCTAAAACCTCGATTGGCTCGAATGGCGCGGCGAGGTCCTTCCTAACTTGGTCGGAGCTACTCATCGTACTCTCAGAAGAGGCTTTAAAATCAACCAAGAGATGTTGTGTGTCGATTTGCATATATGTTTAGTGTCTTCCCCAGGATTTCAGAAATTGTGTAAATTTCATCGATAGTGGATTTTCCAGGTATCCTAGAGGCAAGAACATCGATTAATCATACTTTAAAATCCTACTGTAAATGCCGAAAATATTACGAAAAATGTAAAAGGCGACATTAAGCAAAAAAATCTTTTCGAAATTGCCTTGCAAAAATATTTTACGCAAATTTAGTATGCAAATTAAGTCCAAAATTTACAATAACTTGTATAATTCGATAAACATGACAGTTTTTTTGCATTGAGTGCATGAATGAAACAGTAATTCTGGAAAATTTTTTACCACCTCTGTAAAGCTTGGATGAGTGGACTTTGCAATACTGGGAAAAATTACCACATCCTTGCACAGCTGATGAAACAAATAGTACGCCATTAAGCCCCACAACAAAAATCAGCGAGAAAATGCGATTTTAAATTGTCAACATTATTTGCGCCGCACTATTGGCCATTACTTGCTATCAAAACAAAAACAACCAAAAAACCAACAAAATGCAAATTCACATTAGCAAAAGTATTCCCCTTAAGGCACTCCGCACATTACACTCCGAAACATAGTAGAGCAGTCATTTCGCCTTGCCGTAATGAATACATGACGAATCGACCTCTGCACACTTCCGCGAAAACATGATTAGGTATTATAGAGTAGAGAGGTTAATTGAAATATGTACATTAGAGAGCATTACACTTCATTCAAAAAATATATTAATAAGAAATTGGTGCCGTTTTGCATCGGAAATGTGAAATATTTTATATTTTAAGAATTCCGCCAGCATTTTTCGGAAAAATATTAAGATTTGGTGAGTTGGACCGATTTGAAAATACTAGAAATTTAGTTTTTAAAAATATTTTTTCTAAAAAATCACCTCAAAAGAAAGTAGAGTCTAAGCTCAAAAGGTCTGCATAAAATGGTGAAAAGTTTTATTAACAAAATCGAAATTAATGAATCAGATTTTTGGTGGTATCTTCATATCAGTCTACCTTAAGTAAATCTTAATATTTTTCCGAAATGTTTTGGTGAAACTATTGATATATAATGAAGTTTATAGTTCCGGTGGCAAAACTGAAACCTGCTTTGGTGATGCACCCTAGTGATCGGCACAAAAGCTGCAAAGAGTAGTATGCCGAAAAGATTTTACTACCAAGATTAAGCGACTAGTGTGCGGAGTGCCTAATGAAGAATATAAAAAAAAACAGCAATGTTAATTATTTGATAAATGATGTTGATAAATGATATGCGATTTGCTTTGTTCCTTGGCCACTTAATGGCCCCCCGTTTACGAATGCAGTATAAATACAAAATTTTTGCGACAACGCCGCAGCTATTAACGCGTGAATTGTTTTCGGCAGTTTTCGGTGTTTGACAACGTAATCAAGTTAATTGTCAAAAGTTTAGATTCGAAGTAGGTGGAAACAGTTAAATAATTGCGGTCGTGTTACCGCTTCAACAGCAAATGTGTCGTTTATTTGTACATTTTTCGTGATTAATGGCGTAACTAAATGTAGCTAACAAATAAAGACAAATAGTGCATTTAGTTGTATGTTTTAATGTATTAATTCATTGGTCTATTGCGTGTGAATACTATGACAGGCGCTGACATGTATAACTAATCTTTATATGTATTTATGTTGAGGACCTAAAAAGCTATAAAAATGCAAAAGTAGACAGGAAAAAGCTACTAAAAATAGCATAAAAGGTACTGAAAACCGTAAAATTGGCAAAACGGGAGATTTATTTAGAAATGGTTATTTTACAAGAAATTAGGAAAACAAAATTATAAACTACATAGTTTCATAATATAAAAGGTTTGTAGATTGCTAAACACGCATCCGTCCCTACTGTCAATTTGACACAAGTTTCAACTTCGAAAAGCTATTATTCCCTTATTTTTTTTTTTTAACTATTGTTTCACGGCGCACTGCCGACTTTTAAAAAAAAAAAGTAGAACATAAAAAAAAATTTAATTTATTTGTAAATCTTTAAAAGTGCAGTTTTTTTACCAAACAGTTTATTGAGTAATATGTGTTAGTATTTATATAAAATTAGTTTGTAATTAAAATTAAATAGCCTTAGATTTCAGTACGCGAAATATATATTTACATATACACTTGCGATTAGCTAATTCGGACAGCAACGTTTTGATAAATTTTGGCTATTTTTCTCTTCTTTATCTAATACTTATTATTTTTTCATTAAAGTGTAGCTCATTGTATAACAAACGCCATAAAAATCCACATATCAAACTTTATGCAAAAATTATACAAAATCTGCAATGTTTCATTTGAATTTGTCGAATATTCTTTGTATGGAAGAAATTCCGTGAACGCGCGATTTTTTAGCAACTTAAGACTTGCATCACCAGAATGTAATGGGCCAAAAAACTGCATACTCAAAAAAAAACAAAATTCTGGAAAATCTGAAAAAATTATGAAAATTTAGATGAAACTTTGCAGATTTTTTTTTTTAATTTTTGCACAAAGTTTGAAATATAGATTTATAGGGTGTTTGTTATATAATAAGCTAGACTTTAATGAAAAGATAATAAACATGAAGTAAACGAAAGAAAAATAGGCAAAATTTATAAAAATTTAGATTGCAAAAAAAAACAAACAAAAGTCAAACTGTTAACAATTAATAAAAAAAGTTATAAAAATAAAATCTTTTAATGCAAAAAATTATTTATTTAAATTTCACACTTTAATGCAAAGCCGAGGTAACTACGAACATTTTGATTACTTAACTGATTTTCTTCGACAAACAGTTTATTAACTGCACAAAATAAAAAAAATATACTTCTTTGTAAGTTAAAAATTTCCGAATTTTTTTTTGTCGAGATTTCCAAATATTGTGATGAAATAAAACCCAGGTGTCTTTTTTTACCTCCTTACCTCCCTTTTATTCGCTCGGGATGTAACTATGTAATATTGATGCCCCTAAAAGATGCAGCGATTTCTATTCTCAAGTTACATACCTGATGACAGTACGAATGGAAATTATAATAGCGAATTTTAGTTTTTTAAACTATAATTTTATTATTTTGAAGAAGAATGTAAAAAAATATATTTCTAACCAAAAATATATTGTAGTGTAAATTTTTTCTAGAGTTACCAATATACATATATAACAATACACTTAGGTTTATATATTATAGATATTATCATAAAAAAAAAAAATATCCAAAATTAATGACAAGTTTTATCTAAGTACTTAAATACAATTATTACGCTGGTCAGAATTTCAACCTGCACTACTGGGGGCATGCAGTAGTAGCGAATAATTGTTTTCTGGATTTTTCAGATACTGGTTTTCTGTTTAATCTCTCCTTTCCTTCGCCATCCCTCAATCATGGATGCCCTCTTTTGTTTGCGGCCTTCGGAGTTGGAAAAACAATTTTTGCCGAGAGCCATTAGCTATGTTTAGGCCTATATACCAATATATCGCTAAAAACTGAATTCAATTCCATGCATAATTTTTTGAGTGATGCGCATACAAACAAACAAACAGAAAGACAAAAATTTTAAAAATTGTTGATTTGGCTTCTGTTGCTCTAATAAATATCCCCATTTATTAATTTTTCCTTAATATCTATAAAATCTATACTGTTACAATTTTATTATATTATTATTGGAAATTTATTGTAAATTCACAAAAATAAATGCATAAAATTCGGCAATGGAAATACAAATTCAAATCTATGACCATTTGCATAATATCCTGAAAAGCCCTTATATGTATGGATTAGCTTTTTTAAATTCTAGCCGTGGCAAAACTATATTTGTGCGATAGATTTCCAATGCAAATAAGGAATATTTTATTAAAAATGAAACAGTTTGCCGAATCAAAACAGTCTGAGGAAAACAGCAGGTGAGTGAGTGCACTTACATATATTAGGGATGTTAATTTTTCAGCTTTTTCCGATCCCGGGATTTAGATATTCATTACTTTTAAATAACTGAAATCGAAAAAAATGCTTCTATATTGTTTGAGAAGCTCTCCTACCATAAGACAAATAATAAATAAGTGGGTTTTTATTTAAAGGGGCGTTTTTTTTCTCTCTGGCATAAGGATTTAATTTAAAGGACTTTGTAATTTCAAAGATTAGTTCCAAAAATAATTAAGAAAATTCAATGCAATTTAGAATAAAAATATGGGTACCAAATCCAAGAGGAAATTTCTTTAGAATTAAAAAAAAATTAATTTTTTGGATTCACAAGGACGAGTAGGTAATTTTTTAAGCTGAAAAAGTTATAAAGGCGAAATTCGAGGATGTTATTGAGTTTATAAAAGTCAACATTAACATACATAATACACATAATTCTTTCAAAAACAAATAGTGCGAAATTTCAAGGATGCAGTTTTCAAAGGACATTTTCAATACTTACCAGTCCCTCTGCGCCGAAAACTTGAATCTGTTTAAATTCTATAAAATCTTTTTTGAATTACTGAAGTCAGAGTGAAAAACTAAAAACGCAATTTTACTATATTTGGCCCATGGTTTCGCGAATATATTGATATTTGTGTTTAAAATTTACTATCGCGCGCTGTTATATGTATAATGAGCTAGACATTTATAAAAAAATATTAGCTTTAAAAAAAAAAAAAAATATTTTCAATACTGGTCAAGGAAAGGAGCTTCTATTATTGCCATCAGTGCAAATTGCAAATCCCGAAAATCCCGGGATTTTTTGCAGTAATCTATGCGACCAGGAATGAAATCGAAATCCCCCTAGAACTCCAGATTGTCCCGTCCTTAAAACGGTCAACCAATCGGTTTCTCTGAACCTAGTAGCTGCTCCAGCTGCGGCAGTGTTGCCTGCAATGGCGACAGGCACTATCTTGATCATTACTTTAAGTGCCAAGGAGGGAAAAGGGTGGTCCGTAGTGACCCACTAATACCAAGTAAGACATACCATTGTACGTGCTCCAAGCTTAGTTTGTGTAGCCTCTTCAAGTGAGTTTCAGCAGACGAGGGCACCATAAAACCTAATATGCTTGACTACGGTCTCGTAGAGCCAATAGACAACTTTGGGGAAAGAACCCATTTCTTTCCAACAGCTCCCCTACAGCAGCATAATGCCACTTATGCCTTCCCTGCGCTTCCTGTCAATGATCAGGCCCAAGTACTTGACCTTTTCAGATGGCTGTAAGCGCTGACCTCCAACAAAGGGAAGAGCAGCTTCAGCGTTCATACCATGTAGTCCGTGGTTTTAATTATTAATAATTGTTAGCCACATCTACTTAAATGATACTTAATACTTTCTAATATACACACTTAATTTGGTCAAACATTTTCTTTCTGTTTACACTTTATAAATTCTGCTAAACAAATCCCTTGGAAGTGCCTTCAACGCTTATAACAAAATTAGTCAACTGCAATCTTGTCGAAGACGTCTTCATATAATTAGCAGAACTATACATTTGAAGCGCAAACCGTCACAAAGGCAAACCACAATTTTAATGAATAAAGAAAGCGAGCAGCAGACGAAGGAAGCGTATAAGGAGGAAACGTGTCGAAACTGGAAAACCCGTAAGTTAAAAAATACTTTTTCTGCTAAAAAAAATTTAATTGTTTATTCAGATTACACAAGCAATGCGACAAAAATCCTGTTAATACATACATACAAACATAGCAGTCTGGCCAATTTGCCCAAAGTAATAGCAGAAAAGAAGGGTTGAGAAAAAGAAACAGTTAAAAAAAATGGAAATTTTACGATTTCACTTTGGCTCAATTTTACTGCGCGTGCTCACTGGAAACACTTAAGATTTATACGATTACCCCCTCTGTTACATCTTCTTTATTACATGAAATGACTTTTTCCATTTTAGGTGGCATCCGACGCGGTACACGCACCGATTTCCTGCATAATGGCAGCTTTCATGAGGCGGTTGGACCGGGTGAGTTAATTATTAAATTTTTATACCCGAGCGCACTTGTGCACAAGGGTATTATAACTTTGTTCACATAACGGTTGTTTGTAACAGGCAAAACGAATCGAGATAGATATAGACAAATGTATACATAAATGATTAGAATGAAAAGAGAAATCGATTAAGCGGTGACTGTCTGTCCGTCCGTCCGTCTGTGCACACGATAACTCGAGTAAAAATTGAGATATCTCAACGAAACTTAGTACGAGCACTTCTTTCTGCCGTAGGACGGATGGTATTGAAAATGGACAAAATCGGACAATAACCACGCCTACCTCCCATATAACGGTAATTTTCAGAAATACGAAAACTGGGATATTTTAGTAACTACTGAAGATTATTCACTCCAAATTGATATTTGCAATAACTTTTAGACGAAAAATAAGAATATTATAAACTTTTGGAAAATGGGCGTAACCACGCCCACTTATGGTTACATGTGTATATCTTGGTAACCGCTGCACCAATTTCTTCCAAACTTGGCACAATTTGTGGCCTTGACATAGCCTACGAAATGGCCGAAAATTTTTAAAATCGGACAATAACCACGCCCACACCACATATAACGGTAATTTAGAGAAATACGAAATCTTCGATAAATCGGTAAATATTGAAGCTAGTGTATACAAAATTGATGCTTGCAACAATTCTTTACCAAGAAATACGTTTATGATAAAATTTTGGAAAATGGGCGTAGCACCGCCCACTTATGATCATATATATATATCTCGGTAACAGTTCTACCAATTTGTACCAAACTCGATGTGGTTATTGTACTTGCCACATAGAAGCAAAACGCTGAAAATTGTTGAAATCGGACTAAAATTACGGCCGCTTTTCATATAACGGTAAATTTCAGATATTTTTGAAACTTCAATATTTCCAAATTTAAGGACGCTAATTTACTCAAAATTGATAAACCCCGGCTTACCATCTAGCGGTAGCTTTCGGAAAGGTGAACAACATATATTTAATTCTTGCGCCGGGTATTTAATGTTCGGCTCCGCCCGAACTTAGACTTTCTTACTTGTTTTCTTTTTTTGTGTTTACATAAATTCATACAAAATTATATTAATTTGTAATTAAGTTTATCCCATTTATTTGAATTGTTTAAACATTAAATGCATTTTTGTTATTTTCTACTTGAATTTAGTAAGGGAAATTTTACTTTTTACTGAAATATATCAGCTAAAAAAATCAACCATAAGAAGTTTTCTATCCCTTTCAATCACTTGTCTTCTTCTGTCGTTCTTTAAAGAAATTTTGTATGTAAAAAAAGTTAAAATTGACCTTAAATAAACCCTGCATTAAAATGTAACCCTCTCAGATGACCCTTTCAATACTTGCGATATTAAATCATTAAAGCATGGTTATTTAAAATTTAATCTATAAAGTTTCCTAAGATTTTTTTATTTCGCATGCATAGCCAGCGAATTATGTGAAATAGATGCCAAAGTGTCATATCAGATTGAAATTGACATTGATGTAGGTACAATTTTCATATACACACATTTGTACTCACTTAAAGAAAAATTTCAGACTACGAAAACGATTTGCTCTACTTAAGTCACAAATAAATACAGCAGCAGAGACAGATAGTGCAAACATTGGTAAACACATACATGTATGTACATTAGACTGCATCACCAAAAAAAGTTGCGAGTTTTCCGGCAGAATAATAAAATCTAGTATATTTTAAGACTTCTACCAAAATTTTTCGAAAAAATATTAAGATTTACGTGAGCTGGACCGATTTGAAAATACCTCCAAAAATGTAGTTTTTTATGAATAAAAATCGTTTCTTAAAGGTTTTTTTTTGAAAAAATCCCTTCAAATAACGATTTAAACTTGAGAAATTTGCATAAACATATTCTTAAAAAATTTTGAACGGAATCGTAATAATGACATTTTTGATGCTGTTTTTTTTAACTTCTTTCAAAGATTGGTATAAGAAAAACTTGAATAACTGAATTTAAGCTCTTCCGATTTAGACTTGTGAGGTATCATTGCAAAGGTATTTTCTCACAAACGTCATTCAAACTCGAAATAAGATGTGTTGGTGTTTGAAAAAAAAAGAAAAATGGTACACGACTGACTTCTTTTTTGGACAGTAGTAAAAACAGTGGGAAAATACCTTTCTACTGAGATCCCATAAGTCAAAATCAGAATAGTTTTGGCCCAGTTATTCAAGTTTTTCGTAAATCAATCTTTGAAAAAATTAAAAAAAAAACAGCTTCGAAAATCTCATTATTATTATTCCATAGAAAATGTTTTTAATACATTTTTATGCAGATTTTTTAAGCTTAAACTGTTTAGTCATTTGAGGTAATTTTTTTCAAAATATATTTACAAAAACTTTTTATTAATAAAAAACTAAATTTTTGGAGATATTTTCAAGTCGGTCCAGCTCACGTAAATGTTAATATTTTTCCGAAATATTTTAGTGGACGCCTTAAAATATAATAGGTTATGTAATCCCGGCGGAACAACTTCAACTTTTTTGGTGATGCAGTCTAATGTACATACATTAGGGCAGGTCTATTTATTTTTTGCGTATAGCATAGGAGGATCCTACGTTAAACTCAAAGCAAATTTGCTGAAGAAACCATTCGTCTAAAATCAGTTTGGAGTTTGCCAAATTGCGAAAAAAGGGTTTCGAAGAAAATGTGAAAATTTTCGCCAGAGGGCACGGTGGAAGTTTTAAGGAAAAGATAATTGCAAAAATGGATTCTGCATACCGTACTTATAGCATGTTTTTTATACAAAATTTTAGCACATTTTTGCGACACTACAGCAAAATGCTCAGAAACCTATTTTCGCAATTTGGCAAACTCCAAATATATTTTAGACCAATTTTTCTTCGACAAATTCGCTTAGAATTACTCGTAGAGTCTTTCTGTGCTATACGCGCGTAGTCGAAATAATCTACCATACTAATGGACCCGCCCTAATATACATACACACACAACGAGTCGATTTGTATATTATTGATACATATGCATGTATGTAGGTAATTCTTACTTAATCTCGTCAAAGAAATTTTCTTTAAGTCTGTCTACTCTAGATTCGTAATGACAAGATGTGCAAGACAAGAGATTTTTTTTTTTAATTTGCACTCCACACATCTCATCTACTTGTGCTCATGGGTGAATTGGTTTTCGCCCGCAGCTGCGATTTGAAATGTAACACAAAAAAATATATATTTCATCGAAATAACAACTTTTGGTAAAAAAGTTGCTTCTTATATCCAGCTTACAGAAAATTATAGATTTCGCTGCAAGTCTTTATATATTTTCGAATATATGTAAATGTTTTGTAATTATTTTTTATAAATCGATACTTTTTGTTTCATGCAAATATCTCTTTCTTGTATTTTATCTGGCATATGATGTATATTATTATTTTTCTGCTAGATGTAGTGTCTGTTATGTTGATGAGACTTTAATTTGCAGTAGCCCTTAACGGATGGCATTCAGAAATAAAATTTGGTAAATTTACTTACATACACATAAGTGTTTAAGACAGTCTTATCTCAGCAGCCCGCGCTTATTTGTCTTTACACTATTTTCACACAGATGGCATTTCTCATAAGTATGTTATATTTTCATGACATGACATAAAATTTTCAATATTGTGTGAAAAAGCGCGGGCCCCATCGCGCTGAGATACCATTTTCATATCCAAAATATTCACGTAAGGTTTGATACACCCACTAAGTTGAGATCCTTAAAGACTCAGCCAACACACACACTTTCAATATCCGGTCCTCCAATATTAGCCGTCATCGATTCGCCAACAGTTAGCGACTCGCTATCGTCTATCCGTGCTAGCTATCTTTGTTATTGTTGTCACATGTAAAATTCTTCTTTAAGGGACCGGAACATAGCGAGCTGAGAAGTGGCGAATCGATGATGGCTATTATTTCAAAGATTTTATCGACAATCTCTGGCGCGATGATCTCGTTTGGGCGATCAGAACGTTCGATACTTGGGATGGTACGATTACGACAGAACTCACTAAACTACTTTTAAAATCCTTGAATTTGATAGTTCGGAATCGCCATAGTATATATTAGGGCTTTGCTTGGTTTTACTAAAGGACTTTTTACGCAAAAAGCAATGCTTCATTAGCACACGAAATCCACTTTTTACCATTTTCGTTAAAAATCTATTCAATTTTTCTCCGGTGATGCCCACTTTTGAGACTGCTAACGGGGATTTGTCTGCCTCGGTTTTAATGGAAATATTCAAAATACCATTAGGAGCAGAGGCTTGTTAATTTCAACTGTTTGCATTTGGCTACAAAACTCTGTGAAACAGAATTTATTTTTGTTAATTTTTTTCTTCCTGCTTTATTGGATTAAGTTCGTAGGCAACCTTATTCAGCTGTCCACTAATGGACGGGCTTTTCGACTTTCGATTGTCTAAGTAAAATCGTAAAATGGCCAAACCCAAAATAAAGTCGCAATTAATTTGTCTTCTAGCGAATGTTGGTCGTGGAGTCGCATGGAGACCATCGATTCGCAGTTTAGAGTCCGCTTGGCGTTGTTGCCTAGACTTCTCTGTCAACTGGATTGACGCTAGTTACTAGTTATTCTACCAGTCGGTGTAGATAAATAACATACAAATTTTGATTTCGTATTACAGCATCAATTGCTGGTATGGAAAAATTAACTAGTGGGCTTACAATTCAGTAAAACCGGCTTTCACTGCAGGGTTGCAGTACATACATGTTAGCTCGTCAATGTGTAGCTATTTATGTATGTGTTTGCCTATGAGCATATGCTAAAATGTGCGTAAAATTTTAAAATTTTGTTTGCGTTTCGGATTACGACAAGCCCTTAAAGTACTCGTACAAACATAATTCGCATTTATAGCCAATGTAAAATTTTTGACGCACATAACATTTTATTACGTACAGCTCTTTTCCAATATTCATATTTACGCACCTAACCCACCATTTATATACTTTGTGTAGATTAGTTGCACATATCGTTGGCTCTCTGCAATAGCGACAAACTTCCAAAAAAGCTTTTAATGCTGTTACTTTGGTAAGGATTAAACATGGATTAGGCAAGGATGAGAGACATGAGCCTCTTAACAGTAGAAAGGGTTTTAACCTTAGCTTTGGAGTTGTATCGTTATTGCAGAGTACCATCAATATGTACCTATGCATGTACATAAATACGAATAAATGAAATTTATTTAATTTTAGTGCTTGTTATTGCTCAGTGCTTCTGTCTGATGCCAGTGCGTGGCATACTTGCTGACACGCCGAAAGGATTATCTTTTTGCTGGAAGAGCTTTCGTACCTGGTATTGCATATTGTATACATTGATTACTATCGCTGATACCGGACTAACCGTAAATATGGTCGTAAAAGGTGTGCTGGATGTGAGAAACATCGGTA